AATCTGGGCCCTAGAGAGACAGAAAGGCCCCGGTGTCGGGAGGCTGCTGAGGGGGTGGGAAGGAGGTGAGTATGAAAAGGAGTGGGATGGAAAGGGAGGGGTCCCCTCTATGCTCGGCCCAATGTCACCCCTGTCTCTGTGCCTAGCAGGTCCACCTTGTCCAGGTGCTGCAATGCCCCTGGCTTTCTCTTCACCACCCAGAAGAACACTCCAGTAGAGACGAATCTCAGGTATGAGGTGGACTCCAGTGGCTTCTATCACATCTATCAGGAGATCTTCCGTATGTTTCCCAAGGTGCGCCCCCAACATGTGGTCTGGGAGGGAGCTGGTGGTCAATGCCAACTAGCTGTGGTTTATATGATTTGGGGGCAAAAAGAGGTTACAATTCTGCCTCTGCCATTGTGTGCTGAGGGCATTCCACAGCTATCTAGGAGAGGGATTAATTAGTGCTTGATCATTCACCCGAGGGAGGCACAAGAGAAAAGCACACACAAGGCATATGAACATCAGAAAGCAGGCCCAGGACAGAGTCGGGCTTGAACGTCAGCTACATCACATGACCTTGGGGTCATTGTGTAAGAATGCCTTTTCTTATCATGTATTGTTTACACATAGCTATTGATTTTATTATGCCATTTCACACATGGCTATAAGTATTTTGATCATATTCCTACCACTCCCATCACCGCCACCTTCTCTTGTTCCCTTCACGTGCCCTTCCCCTTCCCAACTAGTCCCCTCTCATCCTTTTTCCTTCAGTAACTCAATGGGTTCCACTGGGGATGCTTCCAGGAACATGGGCAACTTCCTCATGAGCACACCACTGAAGAAAATGTCTCTGCCTCCCTAGCAACCTTTAATTACCTATAGATCCTCAGGGAGAGCTGGGGCTCATAAGCCCATGCCCATTCCATAACAGCAAGTTGACTGGTCCAATCTTGCGTGGTAATCATGGCTACTGTGAATTCAAGAGTGCCACCATCAAGCCTTGCCCAGATGCCCAGACAGCATTCCACCACACTCCACCTTGTCCTATTGTGCCCTCTGTCCTTTCCACAACGTACCCTGTGCCTTGGAGAAGGTGATGTGTAATGTCCCCTTTATGTATGGCCATAAATTGTCACTTTTTATCAGCACTTTGTCTAGTTATTAATATCTGCAACTACACACACTGCCCACTGCAAAAGTAGCTTCACACATTGCCCACCACAAAAGAAGTGTCTCTGTGCAAAGCTGGCCCTGACACTTGAAGGCAATTTGATAGGCAGATCATGTCCATTTAGTATATCAACAGCTATAGATTCCTCACTAGGCCTTCAGACCTCCCCAGCCATGAGCTTTTGACCAAGTTTGTAGTATGAGATGTGAATCCTCTTCTGTGCAGTGGGACTCAGTTCCAGTTAGAACATGGTTAGTTGTCTCCACAACAGACTTGCCATTATTGTTCCTGTAGGCACATCTCACCTGGCCAGTTGTTGGTGAAGCATTTGGGTGATCTTTTTCTCTCTTTAGGGTCTCAGTGTGGGCAGGTGGATCTCTGTGAGTTTGAAGCCAGCCTGGTCTACAGAGCAAGTGACAGGAGAGGCGCCAATGCTACACAGAGAAACCCTGTCTCAAAAAACCAAAAAAAGAAAGAGTAGAGTCCCAGTGTCTATTTATGACACTGGGATTCAGAACAGTCATAGGTTTGGTTGCTCATAATGCATCTGCGATATCAGAGATGTTGTATGAAGGTGGGCTGCTCAGTGATAGCATAGTAGCTCCCTGCCCATGAGCTACAGAGTAAGGGGTCCCCATCCATGACCCATTCAGATCACCAAGGTTGATAGCTGGTGCAGATCCAAATTCTGGACTCTTGATGAAAGGAATGCAGAACTTGTACTTTTGGCTGGCTTGGGGAGGGGGAGGGTTGTGTGATGTTGGGGTGGTGTGGCTTTGGCAGAGAGGCGGGTGGCAAGGGTGTATTCATAGCTATGTTCTGCAAGGAGAGCTCTGGGATTCTCTGCATGTTTTATCGGGTCAGGAGAGGTGCTAACAAGATAAAACCAGAGTCTCTCTGTATGTCCTATTGCTGGTACCAGAGTGATCTGGCAAGATTTGGGCTCAGGGAATGAACTGAAGGTACAGCACAGTGCTGGTGATGAGCCACCTTCACTAGGTGAGCCTTTCAAGGTGGGTACCAGATAAACTTTCATCTTAAGCAGGTCACAGAAGCATGTGATGTAGCCTGGGCTGACCGGCGGGTCCTTGGAAAGCCAGGGCATGAGTTGCTGAGGTCAGGAGCTACAGCAGGGTTTTCACAACTTTCTCTGTAAAGGACCAGACAGTAAATAGCCTTGTAAGTCACATCATAACCACTTGCTACTATGGTCCAGCATGAAAGTGGTCATGATCATGAGTAAACTAAAGAAGGAGTCTTCATCTCAGTGGCACAGACATCAGAAAGACATGCCACACGTCTTATTTGAGTGGCTTTAGATCATTTAAAAATATAAATGTTACTCAGAGTTTGCTGGCCATACAAAAACAGGGGGTAGACTAGATATGGCCCATGGCTATGATTTTCCAGCCCTTGAGTAGTGGCACACAGCAGCTTCCCTTAGCATAGCAGTCTCTCTGGGGTTTTAAAGGGTTAGCTTGCCTACCCAGAGGTTATGATTCTTTGCTATTTGGAAGGAGCCTAGAAATGGCTGTTTCCAGACAGTTCTTGATTTACACATGTTTAGGACATATTCAAGAGAAACGCAAGAAACCCCCAATGACTTTTCTAAGACTACTGCAACTCTTTCTGTCTCTCCCCCTATTGATTTTGAGACCCCTGTCTTGGTACCCTGGACCTGTCCTCACAGGGAAAGTGGGTCACAGACTCAAGTGTGCCACAGAGGGCCATGACAGTTCCTTTTGATTGAGTCCGATTCCTGATGCAGTGTGGTACCTTCAGCGAACGGTTGGCTGGTGGGTGCTGGGGGCAAAGCAGGCCTGCAGACAGCAATGGCAGGAGTTACCCAATGTAGCAAGTCTGTTCTGCCTCCTCCTCCTCATTTCTCTCACATTCCAGACAAGGCTGCCTTGTTGGGTAGAGCTTATAGAGGGGATATGTTTTGGGCGGGGGTAGAACCTAAGACGAAGATGGGGTGGCATTGGCTGTGACACCGCTGCGTATGCACCTTTCCAGGAAATGCCCTACTACCGATCCCAGTTTAAGAAGTGTGCTGTGGTGGGCAACGGAGGCATCCTGAAGGACAGCGGCTGCGGGAAGGAGATCAACAGTGCCGACTTTGTCTTCCGGTGAGGGAGAGGCACCTGCTGCCTGCATGGCCCTCCTCTCTGAGTCCGTCCCCCACACTGCCCCGTTCCTGTGCACTGCTGCCGCCTGAAGCACAGTTTCATGATTTGGGGACCTCTTAGCCCTCTAGCCCTATACCTTTAAACAGGTTGTTGGACTCTGGGGTCCTAGTTTCTAGTTTTCAAAATGGAGTTGGGACATGTGAAGAGCTAATGGTATTCTGGACCGGAGACCCTAAAACTAACCTCCCTGCAGAACTGACAGTGAACCCAAAGCCCCCCCCCCTCCGCTCCCTACGTGGGCTGTACCTTTCCACGAATACTGGCGGGAGGAGGGATGCCTGTGACCTCAGCCAGGCTCTAACTGAGCTGGAGAGGGGTCTTTGCCTTTCTCATTTCTTATGTGGCATGCCCCTCTTTTCAATGTGGGGATCCTTCCTTTCCTTGTAAGGCTCCTGTGGCCTTTTACAGGGGTAACTGTACACTGGGGGAAAGGAAACAATCAGATTTTTCCAGGTCTATGGGATACTGGTTCTGAATTTATGCTAATTTGGCAAGACCCCAAGAAACATGGTTACATGAAGAAGCTGCCACAATGTTTCTTGGGGTCTCTCAGGTCTCTCTCAAGGCTAGCTGGACCACAACCTGTAAGCCATTCTAATAAAATCTATCTATCTATCTATGTATCTATTATCTATCTATCTATCTATCTATCTATCTATCTATCTATCTGTTCTGTTCCTCTGACTAGCAGACTAAAGCACCTTCCTTGTCATCAATGTTCTTTGAAAGGCTCCTATGATTTCCCTGAACCACCTGGATAATCCAGAGTTGCCTTCCTATCTCAGGACCCTTAGCATATTCTCAGCTGCAGTGTCCCTTCTGCTAATTAAGGCACATGTTACCCAGTCTTAGGGGTTTGTTGCCATGGCAACCCCACATTCCTAGCAGGTCACACGACACACACTTCTGCAACTTTGTACCTCAGTGTCACACTTCCAAAGGTGTCTTTGAATATCCCACAGGTATTTGGAACTTCTGCCAGCTGACTTTTGCTAATTTCTACCCTTAGCTCAAACTTCCTCAGAGTAGCCTCGAGTCCCCAGACAATGAGATTCCTCCGTACCTCTCTGCTTAATTCCAGAGACCCAGAGATGACCACAGCTTTCAAGGACATGTTTTTATGGTGATAGTTTCAATATCTCCATAGTTGTAACTTCAGTGAGACCAAGATTGGAGGATTTTTTGCTGTTCTGTTTCTGATAAAGAGCTGAAGGACCTTTGCTTTAGCCAGCCGTAGATGTTCTGCCCAGCTGGAGCCCTTGGCTTCTCTCTGACCTATAACCACATCCTTTCCTTCCCCTTCCCACTCCCAGCCATCTGAAGATGACTGACCACCTAACTATGTGAGGCTGTCTCTCTGCAGGTGCAACCTGCCCCCCATCTCAGGGAAGTATGCCACAGATGTGGGAGAGAAGACAGATGTAGTCACCGTGAACCCCAGCATTATCATTGACAGGTCAGTAGTCCTCTTTCTAGACCGGTCAGTGCTCTTTTTTGATGGCCACCAGTCACCTACAACTATTGGGCACTGGATACTGGGCACTGGGTACTGGGAATATGATTGGTCCTGATGGAGATGTGCCAACTGTCTACAGGAAGCACTCATTGGGTGTCAAAGATTTAATACAAAGGGAGTTAACACATCTTGTTGATTTTTACATTAATCACATGCTAAACTGACAGTATTTTTATATTTGGTTAAATAAAATATGAAAATTATTTTAATAGCTTCCCTCATTTCTTATTAATTCAATACACGGGATCTGTATTGTGTTTCTTTTGGGCAGTGCAGGTCTGAGCAACTGTTACCTAGAGGTGGTTGGGGACCCTTCAGGTGGGCTGGGGGCAGGCCGTGTCCAGATATGGGGGTATGATTATGCAAAGATCTCAGCTCTCACTTGGCTGCTCTCTGTGGGTCTGTCCGAGAGGTCTGCAGGATCTAGTGCAATGAAACCCCAAAGCTGCACATAGTCAGCCTAGCTAGAGTGTGGGTAAGAGGGACTGGAGAAGGAGAGGAGCTGCTAGACTACATCAGATACCAATAGCCAGGAGCCTTCAGAAAGCAGACCATCTGCAGAGGGACAGATGGTCACAGAAAAGGACATGGAGGCAGAAGCCAAGATACCAAGGAGAGGCCTAGCTGGGCCGGAAGGCTGGGTCAGACAGCCACTCCCAATCTTAGGGAAAACAGCAGGGGAGTGATGTGAGGCTCCATCCCCAAGCCACAGCCTCTGTGCCTTTGTTGTCTGCCCTCATCTTCTAAGTTGTCTCTCTGTAGCCCCACACTAGTAATTCAGCCCATATTTTCTCCTTTCCTGTGCCCATTTGCCAAAGCAAAATATCTTCACGAAAGGACATGTTCCTGGGAGCCATGAGATGGATCACTGGGTAAAGGTTCTGGTTGCTCATTTTGACAACGTGAGTTCAATCTCCAGGGCCTGTATCGAGTCTTTCTCTGTCCCACCAGCCAGCTCCCAAATCATGACATGGAGACTTATTATTAATATGAAAGCTTGGCCAATAGCTTACACTTGCTTTAAGCTAGCTCTTAAAACTTAAATTAACCAATTCCTGTTCATCTATGTGCTGCCCTGAGGCGCATGGCTTGTTGCCTCATCTCCAACATGTCATGCTTCCTCCTCACCTCCATGCACTCCACCCTTCTCTTTCCAGCATCTTCTGTGCCTAGAAATCCTGCCTAGCTACTGGCCATTCGGTTGTTTATTAAAGCAACCGGAGTGATACTTCTTCGCAGTGTACAATAACACAGTTGTGGTATTCTACAGCAAGGGGCCACATGATAGAAGGAGAAATTCTGGCAGGCTGTCCTCTGACCTCCATACGTATGCTCTGTGGCACATGTTCCCCTCTGTGAATAACCAAGCAAGCAAGCAAGCAAGCAAACAAATAATAAATATGTAAAGGTGGGAAAGGGAAGCAGAAGAGGGGAAGCTAGGAAGCTTTGTGAGTCCAGAGGGGAAGGGGTGAAAGGTGGAAGGTGAGGGGTTGGGGTGGTGTTAGAGTGAGGTGAGGGGGTCGGAGAGGGCGGGGCTGAGGCAGGGAATGAGATGGGGAGGGTGGGCTGCGAGGATGCACAGGGTTTGCTGCTGCTCACTCTGCCACCCTGCAGGTTCCACAAGCTGGAGAAATGGCGGGGG